ATTCCTCGACTAAACATGACTTTCCTTCGGTTAACATGACTTGACTGATCTCAAAATGACATGAAATGATCAACTAAACATGGTTTGCTCGGGGTTGTTCGGATAGAATTTAATCTCACTCGACATGAATTAACATGACTTAAACCGAGCATGACTTAGCATTTTTCATGGATTTCTAGACATGAGCTGAATAATTCGACCCTAACATGATCTTGTTGACATAAATAGGTGATGAAGAAGGTGTTACCTCTTCAAGTGTTCGGGAAATTTCACAAGAACGGACTTGCTCCTTAGCCTCCTTGCGTGCGTGCGTGTAAAAATGACTTAATCTAATTAACCTTGGCTTAGTTCTTCTCAAAGCTTACTTAATAGTTGTTGAAAGTATCAGGTACAATTTGCCCACTATTTACTTAAATAAATGGCCGGAAGACAAGTAAAAATTGGAAGTAATTGGCCTAGCCAATTAGCTCTTGCCATTTGCCTTCCATTGGAATGGCTAGGTGTACTTAAGATGCTTAGTCATCTCTCACCTTGCTTAGTCACTCCCAAAATAATTCTCAAGCTTCCACATGGCTAAGGAACATGATGACCTTCACGTGAATTTTCCTCCAAGTCTACGGCAATTTACTAGCCTTAAGCATGGTTTATTATCTTAAGTATAATTGGTGTGAGTTAAGTACAAATTGCCCTAATGACTTGCTGTACATGCCTTAATGCGTGAGAAATGAACAATTAAGTCACATGATTGCACAATTAACACATGGATAAATTATTATCATGAAACTAAACATGGATTAGTTATCGGAAAATATTCCGAGCAATAACGTGACTTCGAAAATTAATTCGAATTTTTGACTTGGACGATTAATCCGAATATTGATATTTCGAATAATTCGTCAACTTAACTTATTAATTCTGAACTCATTAATAAAAGAAACGAATCAGAATTAAATCTGGAAACTTATCCGGTTACTGAAATAATTAAACCGAATAATTTATCGACTAATAGTCAGACATTAACTGAAACTGAATAAATGGCTTGAATTTAACTTTTGACGATTAACTTAATTAATACGTCAATATTGAAATAATTAATCTCAACCTGCTTAGGTCCATTTATTAATATAAACGGACTGAGATTAATTACTATCATTGACTCGGTTAATAAATAAAATTAACCGGATATATTATTGAATTAACGTCGAACTTGGAACTTAACTAGCTGAATAATTTAGAATTGAACATTAACATGAATATTTATAAACAAAGGCTAGCTTATAATTAAAAGCTAGTATTTTCCTTTATTAATAAAACTCGGGGTGTTACAGGTCCGGATCGCCGAGTGGCGCGTGGACTCGCGGACTGTTCGCGTGATGAAGATCGTGTGTCCCGATTGTCAACAAGCTGATCCCGCGCCTTAAATCGCTCGATAGGTGTTAGGAGGTTTACACACTTGCGCCCCTCGAAATGAATAAAATTGCAAGAGAAATCAAGAAGAAATCTAAAGCAAAGTGTTTGAACAAAAGTTTGGATTTTTGTATTGATTTTTGAATGATTAGATTAACAAGAGGAAGGGCCTTTATACAGGCACAAACTAGGTCTAGTCCTAATCTAGCTATAACTCTAATAAAGCAATAAAATATTAAGTAACCTAAACAATCTAGATATCATAATGCAATAAGGAAACTAAATAACTAAGGGATCCTAAGTAACTTGTCTTGCACTCCAAGCCAAAGCTCTAGCCGCCCACCGCCTTGGACTCTCCACCGCCCGCGTGCCCTCTTCTTAGTCCTCAAGGACTAGGGCCGCGCTTCTTGTCGTCGGGCGTGTAGACCCAACGTGCGCATCGCGCGCGCTTGTGTGTCCGGTCGCTTCCTCGCGCGCGTGACTCCCGTTCGCTTCACCATATGCCTCGAGGCTTAAGGCCTTGCGCCCTTCATGCTCGCGTGCTTCCCTATCACGCGTTTCGCGCGCGCCAATGTCATCTACTTCCAAGTCCTCTTCGCCTAGTCCTTCAAGGATTCTACTCAAGCACGCCTCGACTATGCCTATTCCTACTAGGATTCCACTCTCGACCGCTTTTCCAATTCTTTAGAGGAATCCATTCGTCAGCGACCTTGCGTGTGCGTACAAGCACGCATCTGCTTTTCTTAGTCCTGTGGGGCCAAAGATTCGCGCCTTGTCTATTCCTTCGAGGAGACTGCTGGTCGTCGCCCATGTGCACACGTGACCGCTCGCGGCCGCTTCTTCTAGTCCTTCTGGGATTTCGTCGAGCATCGCCTTTCCCCGCGCGTGGGTGCTCGCGTCCGTTAGGCTCGCGCCCTTCGTTTACGCGATCATCTCACGCGCGTCCCCATCCTGCGTGAGCGCATTCGCTGCCTTTGCAATTACCTCAACTGTTTGGCGCGCGATCCTCGTGCGCGCCCAGGCCCGTCTCAACCATGTACGACTATGCCATTTTGCACATTTGTGCCCTTTCGAGCTCGTACCCGTCTCTTAGTCCATGCCTGCGTGGTTTTGGCCCTTTCCTCGGTCTTCCCGTGCTATCTCGGCCATCGGCTCTCGACGTGCTCGGGCCTCGAAAACCACATCTTCATCATCGTGGTACAGGGGAACCTCGTGGGCTGGCCTGGCATTGGGCTCATCGGGTCGGCAGTCCGGCGGGCGTGGCTCGTCGCAGGTTGATTTCCGGGGTTAATTATATGTATGTATATCTCAATAAACCACGGGGTCTTCTACTGTATATCTCAAACACTCTCTTCAACTTGTACCAGTGGAGCAACAAGAAGAATATAACGCTCGAATGAGAACTTAGAGAGAGAGAGAGAGAGGCGGCCGATTGGGGAATGAATTTG